TCATCTCCTCCATGTCACTCTCACATCGGACGACCAACTCGTCGTTTTCCATCTGGGTTGGCACTCGAGTGCCGGGCCTGGCGTGTGATGTCCCTAGTGGGCCTTCTCAGTGTATGCCCAATCCATCTCCACTTTCTTCTGCACATTTCTTGAGCGATGAGTTCTTGCTTCGTTGGTTGGTTGCCAGCCAGCCAGCCAGCCAGCCAGCCAGCCAGCCAGAGTTCTTTGCTGCTCATTCTTTCTAGCCATCCGATCAATCTTCAGTATCCAGTGAGTGTAGGTGACAGCTGTTGATGACTGTCTTTAGTTTGTTGCAAATGCTTTTCGTGGTGCACCAAGTTTCTGAACCATCACATAGACGGACTGACTTGACTGACGTTGATGTTGAAAATCCGGATCTTGTTCACGCTTTATGCTGAGTGCAGTAGATCTTCACACTGATTTCAGGTTATTGAAAGCCTGTCTTCCTGTCTTTCTGATCCCGGTTTCGACATCCTCGTCTGTACCACCATTGCCTGTTTGTGAAACGATGCTGCCCTGACTAGCTAGGTGAAAGAGACTACTTCCCTTAGATTTCTCTCATTGATGGTGATTATTTCTTGTTCTTCTTGTCGTTGTTGTTGTTGGTTGGGTATCTTCATCACCTCCGTCTTCTCTACATTCACTTCAATTCCCGTGTTCACTGCCTCGCCTCTTCTGTCAACTGTCTGATTTTCGCCTGTAGATCTTCGAGTTTGTGTGACAAGGCATTAGACATAAATCATCATGGTTGGCGAAATCCAAATCTCCTTCTGAGTTCTTTTCATCGTTCCAGTCAGCGTATACCCGTCTCCTCCCTCCTCACAGTTGTCTGTTGCATGATCTATTCCAGTCCAGTCGACCACAAACAGAAGCATCAATGTTGGTAGTAAGCAACCATTTCTTACTGCTATCTCTTGTCTTCACTGCACTTCAATGGTGTCACTGAGCTTTCCGTTGTCAATTACTTCGCATGTGGCGTCGTCATATAGCTTTTGAATGAGGTTAATGAAGATTTGTGTCACTTAACCTGTAATGTTGAAGCAGTTTCCAAATTATTTCTCAGTCGACACTGTCGAAGACCGGCCTTCGCGAGGTCGATGAAGTTGAGGTAAAGATCTGGTTGACTGCCATTCTACGTTCTGTTCTATGATGACGCCTAGTATAGCGTTGCAATTCGGTCCACATATGATTTGTACTTCCTGAATCCAGCCTGATTTATAGTGCCATAAATCAAACAAGCCAACCAAAGTAGAATTATATTCTACATAAAGTGACAAAGTTTTGCTCTTTTTGATTACATGCTTAAACTATGCCGAGTATTCTCGTGGTAAATTTGAAAAGACAAAAATTCGGGCGAATATACATTTTCGTTAAACCTTCATCAGGCTCTACCTATAAACGCAATATTTTAAACTTAGATACAATCATATATGTAGTGATTACATGAATTTCGATAATTATGTGTACACTAAACTAATTATGGGATTAGACTTGTGTAAGATTTTAAAGCACAAAATTTCGGATAATTGATGCAAAAGAAAGATTAACGGGTAACGGACTTAACGACTAGAATTTTGGTGAAATTAAAAATTATAACAGGCAGTAAGTAACTATGCTATCTTTGGTAAAATTAGAATTGGAAACTTAAATTATACAAATGGAAATCAAAGTACGAAAACAACAACTTTAGTTCAGATTCATAACGAATGCGAACAAATTAGTTTAGTTAGCGCGTAACTGAATTCTGTAAATTTCATTATGCAGATAGCCATGGAAGAATAAGTGAACGTTTTAGGTGTTTTGGCACACAGAGTTCAGATTTCATAATTTTTATTGCACTGTCTTCAGCAGCTTATTGCTAGCAGTAATCAGTAAGAATTCGCGTTCTGTAAACATCTACTATCTTCGATGGAAGGCTACTGAGTCAGGAAGTTAATGATGAAACATTAAGCTCAGAATGAGTAGTTGATCTAGCTATGAGTAAATCAACGCGTGATCAGATCCTCAAACTGGGGAATGTATTTAACTCTCGAAGCGAAAGTGATTCAAGACATAAAAATAAAGTAGCTGTGAATTAACAAAATTATCCTTAATTGAATGTGACAGCATTATCCAGATATTTTTGTCAGGAAATAAGTTATTGAAACTAGATAGCCAGCAAGGTAGAGAATTCTATAACCTAATAATTAACTGAAAATACTGAACTACTAAAACAATGTATAGAATCGTCAACCAACCTTCTATCATTTAATGGTCTACAATACTGATTCCTTTGTTCAGAAAAAGTTTACAAATTTATGAAATTATTACTCGTCAACTGATATAACATTGAACTGTCTAATTCATACGGAGTATCCAAATTTTTCATTTGATAAAAGTTTAGGAGGATTAGAATTTATAAATTTTGCAATATACTTCACAGAAAAATATGTTATCAGAATTGATGAATACCTCAACAAGTAACCAAATACTTCTGTCAAGAGGTATGCATGACTTCATAAGCAAACCAGAAGTTAACTACACGTATTAAAAAATGGTTTGGTAAATGCTTAGAAGCCAAAATATTGCTTCCACAGGATTATTACGTGTTGAAGTAATGACTACTGAATTCAAGAGGTCAGTAGATATTATAATTATGAGTAAATTAATCTTCTATTGCTTGTGGCTTTCATATAACACATTATCTTCTTTAGACTTTCTTACTATTACTTATATGACAGCTTATCATAATTTTAGTTGATACCGTCTGATAGTTTTATGATGATACTGAAGTGACTTTTGACACTATTAAACTATTTTGTTAAGCTTTCCTTTTCTGATCTCTTGCTTGGAGCATAATTCTTCAGTTTATATCTGTTACAATTGGATACTGAATCATATGTCCTTAGTGAAGAAGTTTGATATAACTTCATGATTCTGAATAACCGTAATTAATTCCATTTAAGTAAAACATAAAGTGTTCTACATTTACTCATGAATAAAGGTGCACAAAATTAATGTTATCCATATGTAAAAATCAGTGGTAAAACAGATTACATATTCGAATAATAGATCTTTTCCAAGAAAATCAAAATTTTTAAGTGGTTCCTAGGCTATCTTCCTTATTAGCACGATTTTTCCATCAGTAGAATGACAAATAATTCACTTGATGAACTATTAAATGGTTCACCAACTCACCAAAGGGTGCCTTTGGATAGATTAAGCACTTCCTACTCATTGATTTAGTGCGACATTTCGGTAAAAAGCAGACTTTTAACGAAAACGTGAATATAAAATGATGATTGATTGTGAAACATAAAACCCAGGTTATGTCAAGATTCGAATCAACAGCCTTCGCACTACCGACTTGGCACTCCACTCACTAACCTACTAGACCCAACTGCTGATTGGGTCCCTACCGAAGCTAGTGTCATTGCGGTGAAATGACAGTAACATATCATGATAGCAGAGCAAACCTCTTGGTCACTACACTAGAGTTAAGATAGAATTAGCAGCTGGCTCTAGCAACTCAATAGTTATGGTACTAAGCCAGTGATCCATAGCCTGTTGGATCAGCAGGCAAAACCACGCTATTCCACATAATCTCATCAAGATTATTCGAATAAAAAGTCTGATTACTCAAAATTCAACCGGTAAACTTGAGTATCTATGAAGAAAAACATGATGCAACGACATCTGCCAAATTTTCCCCACTTTTCTCACTTCATATTATTATAATACGTCCTAGTTGAGAACATACATTAAACGAAGTTAAACAAAGATAGGAGAAAAAGATGTAACCCATCATACTGATTAAAAATTGTGCAAAGAAATCGCAGCAGAAATTTAAACATGCTACCACTCTTTAATAATCACCTCTCATTAGACTTCAATTAACGACATTCATTCCAAGACGAAATGAAAAATAATCAACACAGCACTACTCTGAATAATTTCTAGTTATGATATTACGCCTATGTGTACTGTTTTTTATGGATATTTTACATGACTTGGGGACTTTACTAAAAATAAAAGGGACTTTATTTGACTAGTTTCATCCATGTGTCATTAAAATAAGGTATGAAAGACTGGAAGTAAAAGTCTATGGAAGGTTTAAATATATCTTTGAAGAGATTAAGTTTAGTCGGGTATTGTTATATACTAGGATGTAAATGCAACCAATAAATAATTAGCATCAAGTTATTGTTTCATATACTGATCCTCTCACTTTCTGTTTGTAAACTACCAATGGATAAACCAGCGATATTAACAATGTGGAGAGACTAACCAAAAATATTCCTATACCTGCGTATATAAAAACTAAATGTTTTCTACTGACTTACAGGCAGGTCATTTGACCACAAAGAATTCATATAATAGACTTTGAAGTCGGCCTAATTCGTTAGAGGGATGCTTAAACAGTTCTTAGGTAGAAGAGGTATAAAAACGCTACCAATGAGTCATAATGAAGGTGTTTATATCAATTAGTCATACATACTTTTATGAAATAACTGCACACCGAAAGATTACCGTTCACGACGACTAGGATATTTTCTTTCAATTTCTTGTGTCAGTAAGTAGGTAAATGAATACTTGCTTCCTAGAAATACGCAAATGAATAGCTTGCATGCGTTAACTCACATGTTTTTATGTTATTTTCATTCAGTCCATATAAAAGGGATTCTGTACCTAAATACGCCTAATACAGTGCTCTATATTTAAACTGTCCCCTGCATGTGGAACGCTTTTTACGTACTCAGTGGTGTTGTTAGCGCAAAAAATTCATTCTGCTGAGGAAAACCGTTCTTTAAATAAATCTACCTGTGAGAACTCCGTTTAAAAAGACTAATGAATTAAGTGGCCTATGATTTGGTCCTCTAACACCTGTATAATCAGTTGTAAAAGTATTCATCAAGTTCTTTTGTAAGGAACTCAAATCGGGATAGAACTTTTTTCGATAGTTTGCTATTAGTAAATAAATGATAAGTGAGGTAAAAATTATATGCAACAAAATTATATATTTATTTTAAATTAATAATTTTGAAGGTAACAAAATTATTATGGAAGACGTTTATGAGTATAATCGTCAACATGTTTGCGTTAGCGATTTGTCACTCAATGAATATGCATATTGAGAGACTTTATGGCTGACTACTTTTGTGGTATGATAAGAACTAAAACGTGTTTTTTACTTTTGATCCTTAAAGATGATTTTCTTTAAGCGTCTGTGTATCCACCCGATTGATCTTCATAACTATCTGAATAATCATATCCACCTCTTGGTGGGTAATATGAATAATCATATCCTTCACCATGCAATTCTTTCAGTTTATTCACAGAACTGTATGCTAAACCAGAATAACGGTCAGAATCATAATCATAGCCTCCATCATAACCACCATATTCATTATAGCCATCACCACCATATTGTACAAAGCTCTCTGATCCTCCATACTGATACTTATCACCATAGATTGCTTCCGATGCGAAGCCCATAGATTTCTTTGAATCATAGAATGCTTCATCCACTCCTCGTCTGTAGTAGCCCGAGCATAGATGCATACTGCTGAGAAGTATAAAAGAAGACAGACCAATGCAATAATACTGCAGGTTCCACATATTCATCTGTATTGTTTTATTTCAAACGATCTAATCGGAATATTTGTGTATTATATACATGTAAAAAGAATGTAGCCTGAAACAATAAAAAGTCGTTTTGTTTTAAATCTAAGGCTGCATAAATTGTTAGTGCACTGAGTAGAAATCAATCAAATTAGCATTTGTTATAACTTACAATGTCCGTCATAAACATGCACTTATAATAACGACTGTATTATTTTACTACTCTTTTTATTATTTTTCCTTTGGGTTCCTAGTGGAACATAGGGCTTCACTAGCACACCTTCATTCCACTCTCTTCTCTGCAATCTCCTTGTCCTCGCTCCACGAATTCCCACAAACTTTCATTTCTTCCTCACATCATCTCCTCCATGTCACTCTCACATCGGACGACCAACTCGTCGTTTTCCATCTGGGTTGGCACTCGAGTGCCTGGCCTGGCGTGTGATGTCCCTAGTTGGCCTTCTCAGTGGATGCCCAATCCATCTCCACTTTCTTCTGCACACTTCTTGAGCAACAGGTTCTTGCTTCGTTAGTTCGTTGCCAGCCAGCCAGCCAGCCAGCCAGCCAGCCAGCCAGCCAGAGTTCTTTGCTGCTCATTCTTTCTAGCCATCCGATCAATCTTCAGTATCCAGTGAGTGTAGGTGACAGCTGTTGATGACTGTCTTTAGTTTGTTGCAAATGCTTTTCGTGATGCACCAAGTTTCTGAACCATCACATAGACGGACTGACTTGACTGACATTGATGTTGAAAATCCGGATCTTGTTCACGCTTTATGCTGAGTGCAGTAGATCTCCACACTGATTTCAGGTTATTGAAAGCCTGTCTTCCTGTCTTTCTGATCCCGGTTTCGACATCCTCGTCTGTACCACCATTGCCTGTTTGTGAAACGATGCTGCCCTGACTAGCTAGGTGAAAGAGACTACTTCCCTTAGATTTCTCTCATTGATGGTGATTATTTCTTGTTCTTGTTGTCGTTGTTGTTGCTGGTTGGGTATCTTCATCATCTTCATCTTCTCTACATTCACTTGAAGTCCCGTTTTTGCTGCCTCGCCTCTCCTGTCAGTTGCCTGATTTTCGCCTGTAGATCTTCGAGTTTGTGTGACAAGGCATTAGACATAAATCATCATGGTTGGCGAAATCCAAATCTCCTTCTGGGTTCTTTTCATCGTTCCAGTCAGCGTATACCCATCTCCTCCCTCCTCACAGTTGTCTGTTGCATGATCCAGTCAAATACAGTCAGGAGGATGGTCGGTGATAATAGGCAGCCTTGTCTTTCTCCTTCCTGTCTTCACTTCACTTCAAAGGCATCACTGAGCTTTCCATTGTCAATCACTTCGCATGTAGCATCATACAACATATCCCCGCTGTTGAATGAGGTTGATACAGGTTTGCGGCAATGAAGCCGTTGTACTGAAGCAGCTACCTGGCAAATTACTTCTCGGTCGACGCTATCGAATGTCATTTCAAAATCGATGAAGCTGAGGTAAAGATCCGGTTGACTGACATTCTATACTCTGTTTAATGATGATGCGAAGCGCAGAGTTGCAATTTGGGCCGCACATGATTTGTTCTTCCTGAAACCAGCCAGCCAGCCTGTTCCGGTCGCAATTGTGAATGCGGATAATATTTTAGTCTCTCCAGGACGATGCGGCCTAATCGTCTGCTAAGGGTGGACAGGGGTGGAGCGTGATTCTCCGCCAATTTCTGCAAAGGCATATGTCTGCCTTTTCGGTAGTTTGACAAGGTAGCCCTTCTTCCAACCGATCTGCAGGTACCTTCCCTTCATTTCTTGCAAACCTTCTACAGTAGTGGTGTGAGCATGTCCGCTGTTGTCTCTATTTCTGTTTTCAGGAATTCCATCTAGTACTGCTGCTGTTACAAATTTCAGCAACTTTATGGCATTCAGAACTTCACTTCTGCTTCTTTTCGTAGGGCTTGTGCTCACTGGTAGTTTCGCCGTTTCTGGTGGTATTTCCGGACGATTTGCAGTTGGTGGTCGATTCAAGAGCTTCTTGAAGTGGTCAGTCCATCGTTTCCCTTGCTTCTCTTCTTTCGTAATCAAATTTTATTCATCATCTTTTATTGGTTTCATGTGTGTTGATCTCTTCCCTCACAGATAGTAACCTGGTTATTTATACAATGTTGTCAGGTCTCTATCTCTCCTACCTACAGCCTGTTCTGCTTCACTTGCCAGTGTTTCCTAGAAGTGTCTTTTGTCTTTGCGAGCACTCCTATTCACTTCTTTGTCCAGTGTAGTGTTTGATGTGTTGTATTCAGTTCCTCTTTCCGCTGTTCATCCCTCCACTGGTTTATCTTCTGCTTCACCATCACCAACTTCCTCTCCCCATCTATCATCTTACATGTGTCCGTCGACATCCATTCATTGTCTTCTTTCTTCTTCCTTCATAACACGGTTATGCAGGTTTCCTTCCACACTACTTTCAAAGATTTCCAGTGCTCATCCACACAGGTTTCTTCAGGCATGTTGCTCAATGTCTCCCTTTTTGTCCCGATGGCTGGCTGATGTGAAGATGCCCTTTGTAGTTTCGTCCTTCACCTCAGTTTCTCTTCTGGGTGTTCAACTCGAACTGTGGTCTATCACCAACTTCTTTCAATTAAAGCCTTTCAACATGATTTTGAAGGCAGCTTCCTTGCACCAGATAGTGAAGTGAGTGGTGTGAACCTACATCTGCTCCCCTTCTTCATCTGATCTTGTGTCCAGTAGGCTGTCTTCTTCTCCACTTTCCTCACATTGAGATGAAGTCTATCTGAAGTCAATTTTTAGTGTGTCGTGGTGTCTGGTGAAATCAAATCCATGTGGCTGCCTTGTGAATATTCTTGTGTTTGTGCACACTGCCTACAATCACCAAATCGTTGAATGTGCAGAATTCTGCAAACAATTCTCCATTCTCGTTCATTTCACCTAACGCTTCTCGGCCCACCATTGGTTCTATTCCTGTGTTGTCCGATCCAAGTTTCGCATTCATGTCACCCCACTCATTAGAATTTTGATATTGCCAACTGAAGTGGGGTCTTGTCCACTGCTGATTGCAGTTGTCTGTAGTATCCCACCCCCCTTCTTCTCTCTTGCTCTGCATTATTTGTAGGTGTGTAGTGTAGCATTGTATGATTGTCACCTTCCTTCCTTCCTTCCTTCCTTCATTTTCAGTTGAATCTTGTTGTCATGATCCTGATCCTACAGGAGGAGATTGGTTCCAACTACATGAGAGTCTTCGATACTCTTCAGGATATCATGATAGCCACTCCATAACTCAGTGTGCTTGTGGTTGTCATCTGGGTGACAATATCCGAGTAGATTATTGACTCGTCTCCAGTTGACAGTTTTGAGATTCCACTTCCATCCCATCTACTTTCGCAAATTCCTATCACTTCAGTGCGATAACTTCTCATCTCTTTTGCAATCAGGACAGCCTTGTCAGCTAGCTTTAAACATTGTGGTCACATTCCATGTCCCCATGTTTACTCTGGCTTTCATCGATCGATAGAAGACACATCGACCAATTGTCTTCCGGAAGACTTTCACCAACTGGCGTCATTTTGTCTCTTCGATTCGAGAGAAGAATGAATTTGTTTTTGTTTTTTGTATTTTGTTTGTGCTTTGAAGTTTGTTTAGCGGTTGGATTTGTTTTACGGATAGGGTTGCTAGCCCAATGCCCAACCTTCCCTCTTTACCCGGTCTTATGACCGGCTAGTAACTAGTGAACTATTTAACCAAGCGAGGTAATGATTGTATACCGAATGCTATTTAGAATAAGATATTGTATGAGGTTATAAGTGCTATTTCTCAGTATAAAACAACCGTAATGATGAGAATTGTCACTTCCGGATTGTGTTTCCAAACATATTATGCTCTAAACAACCAATTAGTTTTCATCCTTTTTAACCAACAGTTATGATTTCTTAAAAGCAATGTATAAACGATTCAGAAGTTCTTTCGGGATGTTCTGATAAGAAATGCTTCAGTTAAAATGTTATAGTTTCATCTTCAAGATATATCCATATAAAGCGCTGAATGTGTCGAACAATAACCAATGTAGATAAAGATTTCTAGGATAGTACAACAATCAGTTTACTGTCAGTCATGCTGTAAATACAAAAATCTGGGAAAAGAATAATGAACACCGTAAAGTATAAGTTGGAAACTGTCTTTACAAACCTTTGTATGCTTGCTTATTCTAAAGCAAAGTGTCACTGTCAAGTGAATAAGTGGTGGATTGGAAATAGCGTAAATACAAGTACAAAATGAACGCAGCCCTGTGTAGGAACTACGTTATGGGTAGTTGTGAAAACAATAGTGATGAAGCATTTAAATTTAATAATATATTAGATAAATTTTGGGTATTTAGAAAGTTGAATGTAGATGAAAAGCAACAGAGTAGATGGACTGAATAATCCCCCTGAATTCTGTGGTTGCATTAACTCAGTTATCGACCAGAGTAAAGGAATCACTTGTACATGATAAGACCTAGCTGAGGTGACTTAGTTTGACTTATATGCAATAATAATAATGAATGAATGGCTATAGATTCTCCGTGTAGTGTTGAAAACACCTTTCTGATCAATATTTCAGGTATGTATTTACTGCAAGCTTGAATCCTTTGATAACTGTTCAAGCCGTTCATAGTTTTGTTTGGTCGAGCAGTGAAAAAACAAGAGTATTTTTCACATGGCATGATGACCAAGGTTGAAGGGAAATAAAAATCAAGGTCATGATGGAATGTGAACTGCTGGCTTCCAGATTACTGGCTCAGGCTTTACTAGGTGAGCTATGAGAACCGGCTGCTAAAGGGGTCTTGACTTGAACCACCGAAGGTTCCACAGTCAAGTTTCGTAGTTCATTCGATAGAGCGCCAGGCTGAATTTTTGAAGCCCGCTGGTTCGAACCCTTTTGTGGCCGGGGTTTTCATTCTGCCCACCCCCCCCCCCCAGTCATCACTCCGTATCAGTAATACTAGTCTACTGAATTATGGTTATCTGAAGTATTTCGGACAACAGTGAAAAATTTTGATTAAATCTTGGTTTTATTGTCAATAAACTTGACAAAATATTCAGTGACAGCAGGTTTTTAATTGAATCATGTTTCAAAGTGACAACATTCAATGTA